AAGGTTAACATGTTCTGCATCTGATTTCAGTGTTCATGAATTGGAAATTCTCTGCTGATCATAAATCATTTCAGTTTAACAGCACAATGAGCTTTGTGTGATTTTTATGGACTTATGAGAAATATATTAGATGACATAACCAACATAAAATAAGAACTTGGTCTGGAATATAGGGACCCTTCCAAGGAAAAAGAGAATTGGTTCTAAATGTAATTTGTTGTCATAGAAGCAGCTGTGGAATGAATGGATTATTTCAACAGTATTTTTGCTGTTTTTCGGGTGAGAATTTTAATGCTTTAAATTATCTCATATCTTCACTTATTTCCTACTCAGAATTCTGTCCCTGATGTTTCTAACACAAGTTAGATTCACATAGTTGACATCTCTCATTTCATTCCTTGTGTTCCTGCATACTGTTTCTGGAAAGCTGAAGGTCTTTTTTATTTTTTTTCCAACAGAATTCTCAATGACCTTTAAATAGAAGAATCTTACATAATCATGTTGCATTGAAATGAAAATCCTCTAAAAATATTTAGCTCTTGGAATACTGTTAACTGATTATTTATTCCATATAATCAGACCAGTGACTGGAAATATAGCTCTGAAAACTAAGTTATGGCATCTAGTAGTGAAACATATCTGGAACATTGTGTAGTATTTTCTTTAGGAGAGATTTACACTCGACCATTACCAAATAAAAGCTGAAACTACATGGGTAAAGTTTCTGGCTTTGCCTACTAATAAGTTAAGAGCACTCTCTTTTTTTTTTCTGGCAGCACTCAAATGTTCACCAGATCAATGGAATTTTTGCTAACCGAATTACAAAGATCCAACCTCTTCACCTCACTCTACTTTCTTCCTAGTTCCTGGAGATTTTATCTCTAACCACACTGATACATATCAGTGCATATCTTAGAGCTTCTCAGCTGATAACAAGTATTGTGGCTCCTTCATTAAAGGAAGTTCTTAGACCCATAATGGAGAAAATGGTGAAAAAAATAACCAGCATTTTGAGTAAAAGCTCTTGCTGAGAAGAAAGTCTAAACAGGTTCCATGCCCTCTTTAATACAATACCATCTTCAGAATGTTCAGGGAACAAAAATGAGTATCACTTATAGCTTATGTACTATTGCCAAAAATCAAAAGTTAAGAAGAAAAAGAAGAGCAAGTATAACCAGGATGTTGGGTAGAACATGTTTAAGTGAAATTCCAATTTGACAGATGATGGAACAATATTTTAATTGAACCTGTATCATTCTGATGAGTAAATCTCTCAGTTCTTGAATATGTAATTAAGCACTTGATTTGACTTATTTTAGGTTCTTTTCAATTACATTGAGATAGATCAAAATTGCTTCAAAACTGGTTGGCTGAATTCATCATAGAATCAGCCAGGTTGGAAGAGACATCAAAGATCACCGAGTCCAAGCCCACTGTGGTCACTAGACCATGGCACTAAGTGCCACATCCAGTCTCAGCTTGAAAACCTCCAGGGATGGTGAATCCACCACCTCCCTGGGCAGCACATTCCAATGCCTGAGCACTCTCTCTGTAAAAAATCTCCTCCTAACATCCAACCTAACCCTCCCCTGGCAGAACTTGAGTCTGTGCCCTCTTGTCCTGCTGCTGGTTGCCTGGGAGCAGAGACCAACCCCCACCTGACTCCAACCTCCTGTCAGGGAGTTGCAGAGGGTGATAAGGTCTCAACACACTGAATTAGGAAACAATTTGCTTTGCAATGTCTTCTACTGAATTAGATCCAGGAACTCAGATTTCCTAGAAGCATTTTATGACTGTTCCTCTTCCAATACATTGTTTTTGGTGGTCAGCGAAATGGAATTGCATGTGCAAATGATACTCATTTGTGTCTGTGAGCGTTTTGCTAGTGTAATTTTATGTTTTATGGACATTTTACTTTACTTTAAAAAGTCTTTTCTTTTTGTCATGTGCTCAATAAAACTCTGGTAGAAACCAGGATTCACCACAGAGGTTGTTGTGTAGCTTTAAAATCAAGAAATCCTATGGAATTTGGAGATGTATTTGCTTTGGGTTTTGAACTGTTGGAACTTTTCCCTGGGGGTTTTATAACATTATTTTTTTCAGTGAAACTGATATTTCCATTGAAGCCCTTTAGTCCAAAACAAGGTGGTGTGGATGATCCCTGAAAATAATAATAAATCAAGAAGAATTTGGGGTTTTTTTTGCTTTTTTTATCTTAGATGATACCAACATCTGTGTGCTAAGCTACAACATAATGATGCAATGGGTTTTCATTTCAAGTTAGCCTTTACATTAGTTTCTAGAATGTGATGAAAATATACTTTAGTTATTGGAGCTATGACAGTCTTTTCTTGTTTGTTTCTGATTACTAGTTTTAAAAGAAGAAAGGAGGAGGCTTTTCTTACATTTCTATATAGAAGTGATTGCTGCTTTGTTTCTGTGTCTAGGAGGAAAAAAAGAAGTTTGATAAAGAGACAGAGAAGAACTACAGTTTGTTGGAAAAACACTTGAATTTATCAGCTAAGAAGAAAGAGATACAATTACAAGAGGTATTGTTGCCTCTCTTTTTTATGCAAGCTAAAGACTTTTGAATAGGTAAATATACAAATGCAAAACCAGCATTGGTAGTGGTAAAAGAGGAGATTTTCTCAACTGGTGGGAGAAAATCAGTATTTGTTGAACTTAGTGATGTACCCCTACCATTTCCTGAATCAAGGGCTTTGTGGATATGAAGCACTGAACATCATGTGATTTTTTATACATGATTAAGGGAATAACAAAGTGTAAACATGCTGTGAAAAACTGCATTTTTCATAAGGTTTTACTACAGATGTAATTTGCATTTCCTTGCAAGTATTGGCTAAGTGTCCTGTGATAGTACAGCAGGGTTTATATTCCTGAAGATAGTGTTTCTGTGCTTTTTCTCATGTTTTGAGTATATGGTTGTTTTTGAAGGGTTTTTTTTCTGAGCAATGTAAAAAAAAAAAAAGTTTGTTGACAATTTATAACTTAAAACTAGATCTGTTTTCCCTGGCATTCCTTCTGTCCCACTGGGTTTATTATCATCGTACTTGTTTGTAAAAGTTTTCATTTCTGGAGCAACAGCAAATAGGACGTGAGAAGACTGCAGAGAAATCTTGCAGAGACTTGCTGTACCCAGGATTATTTTTACCCCTCAGATAAATCATAGAATCATAGA